GAAAAATCAATTATGAGTAAATTTATTTTTTCAAAAAAAAAAAGGAGAAGAAGAAGAAGAAACAGGATAGTGGGCAAATGATTCACATGAAGAAGGGGTCTACAATACACAAATTCCATTATAAATTATGATTTTTAACTAAATCCGTGCAAGTGTGGCCAGCCGCCATACAACTGTATTGGGCCTCCCCTCCCCCCACCTTCTTCACAAATCGCAATCATTTTCCCTTCCTCTTCAAACTTACGCACTCGTTTAATTAAATATAATCAACCAACTTTTTGTGTTCTTTTTTAACTGGAATCGTATAACCAAAGCGAATCAGTTCAAGAAATACATTGTTTCCAATATATGGTAGCTAATTATGTAGAAAATATAATGTCGTTATTTTCATTACGAGTTTTTTTTCTTCCAGATACTGTAGGGCTATTAGAATAGTCAACTAGCTCGGGTTCTTGAAATTATTTGATTAATGAAAAAAATAAAATAGAGGGATTATTGGTCTTTTCCCTTCTTTCCACAATGCTTTGAGAACCGGTGAAATGCAACATTGCTTTTTAAAAACAGAATCGTTCAAAGCTTTTTCTCTGATAAAGGTCATTGTTCTCCGGGATAAAGGCGCTCACCGCCGGCCGCCCACTCGCTTACAAGAATCATCTATAAAGTCACCTATTTTTGCCACTTCAGATTTTTAAACTAATTGCAGTCTCAGAAAATATAGGAAAATGGAAATTTTTGTTGTAACATGGACCTACCATATTTTTAAATTTGGGCCTTGAGAGAATGTGGAAAGCTAGAGCCCATATTTTCGCTCGGTTCGTCTCGGTTGGGCTTCGGCCCAGCATTGGTATAGGCATCCCCCTCTTTCTTCCGGCCCATGATGACGAAAAACGTTCCGTCGTCCGATGCACGTGACCTCATTGAATTTGATTTGATGGTTGATATGATGAGGAAAGTAATTAATAGGCAGTAATTAAAAATTAGAAAAAAAAAAACGTTTCGTATTTGTAATGATAAACCATTAAAAAGAGACTGGTGGGTGTCAGAGGATGAGCCTATGGTAGTGATTAAGATTAGGGTTTCTGTTTCTGTAGTGTAGGGAACGCACACGGGCAAAACAGAACATAATTAACATAATTAATAATCAAATTTAATTACGTCTGATTTTGATTTTCAAACCAGCTATTACGTTCAGAATAAAGTTTCATAGACTAGGCTCAGTCCCAGCGCCTTCTATTACCTTCTACTATTAGATTATTAGCTAGGTTTTATCATTAGTCTTTGCTTTTTATATGAAATAACAGTTAAAATTATAAGTTTCATTTTCAAATTTTTAATCTTATGCTTATTTAGATCTTATACTTCAAAAGTTTATAATAAATCATTCAACTTCTAAAATTATGGTTAGTTAATTTTTTTAATCTTATGATTAAATACCTAATAGAAATAGAATTACTTAGTAGGCAACCATTAAATAATATAGTCACAATACCACCTCTTCAATGTGGTATGATATTGTCCACACTTTAGGTACAAGTCCGTGACTTTACGTTTCTACCACCCAAAAGAATAATACACTCTACATCTCTACATTTGTATGCTCTTGCCATTCTTTTTTCCTTTTTTTTTGCATAAAAATTCGCGTAGTTTTATTTTTTTATCACCCAAAATACCTCAAATTTGTGCCGACGTCTTTTCATAAGATTATTTGAAATGCGCATAAGCAATCAATTTGATATTTAATGATTCAAGTTTGTTTTCTTATCATTTTAGTAGTTTCAATTTTATCCATATAGTTTAAGCTCAATTTTAATATGTTGGTCTTCGTGGTTCTAAAATTTTCAACTTCAATTTGATCCCTAAGTAATTTCAACTTCTTTTTTTATTATTTTATCAAACTTCACCAATCATGTATGTTATTATAAATTGTTATCCTACTGAATAGAGAAGACATTTTCAATTTGCTAATGTTGGTTGGGGTAATTTTCCATTATGTAGACCATAGTTAGGGTTTACTGTTGGGTATAAAAAGTTATTACCGGAAAGGGGGTGTGGGTTTCAGTTGAGTATAAAATATTCTATAGATGATCTAATGTTTTACAATTTTTTTTTAGTACAAATTAATTGAAATCAACATAGAAATTAAGAATTAAATTTGTTGATGCCCATCAACTTTGGTAGGACTGTCAATAAGTTAACTTGCAAGAAATATCTCGACACTAGTGTAGTGCCCTACAAAAGGTGACTAAGTTACTACGTAAACTGAATGATAGGAGGAAATAGATAGTAATTATTGTATTTAGTGACAAATTTCTCACTTACCTAAGTGAGGTGGGATTCTATCCCTTTCATAGGTGACAGAGCTGATTAGGGTGGACGCTTGACGTGAGACGTCGCGTGTCCTGTCCGCATACTAGTTCTAATAGGTCATTAGAGATTATTTTCAACGCATGGTGTCATCCCATCGCCGACCACCACAAGTCCAATGTAGGCTCCATCGCAGCAGGGCGCGTTGTGAAGCTACCTGTACGTCCCTATAACCTATGACGTCGTTCTCCTTCAATGGATCGTACGTCTGTAGTGGAGTTGGTCATACTACCACGATGTCATGTGTGTGCCCGCACGCTCCCTACAGGCCACATCCACAGCTCAATTCTCACCTCCAATGAAATTAAAACTAAACACAAAATTCAACTTGGCAAAATGTTATTTAACTTTAAAAAAGTAAACGCACATCGTCCCCAAGAAACATCTCACATTTAAATTAATCATTCAAATAATCATTTTTCTTCCCTTCCAGGCTAGCTAGCTTTTTTCCAACTTAAACCTCTAAAGAGCTGTTACCAACTGGCCACACGTTTTTATCCATTAATTTCCAAAATGTTCAAACAGTACCTTAAACAAAAACTGAAAAAAATAGCTCAAAAAATCTATATTCGCCCCAACAATGCGCATAGCCCAGCAGTTCAAATTATCACTAATTTGGTTGCACTAAAACAATAGCTTTCATCTTAACATGTTTTACCTATTCTTCTTGCGTCACCCATTTAAAAATAATATTGCTGACGTGGAAAATAATAAAAGAAAAAAGAGCAGAGGAAGTTGGAAAAGTTTTGGGAAGCAAGAAAAAAAGAGAAGAGGGCAGAAGGGGGGTTTTATTGTGCTTACGTCAATGATGTTAGGGTAATGAAAGCGCTACGAAGGAAGCCAGCCATGTGGGAAAAACCAGATAGAAAGATAGAGAAATATAGATTATATTATATTAATGTTCAGCTCTAAGTTTAAAGGTAAAAATGTGATTGGAAGTGGGAAGACCAATGGCAAAATCCGACGGTCCCAACGCAAGAGCTAACTGTATTAAGTACGATTGGAGTCAGAGAAAAAATGGCCTGCACTCATACACTTCATTTGATTTGATCAATATTTTGCTCACTGTCACCTCCCTTCCTCTACAGTCCCTTAGATCCTCTCTCGGCCGTCGCAACAGTTCCTTTCTTTTCCCACAACCCCAAATAATAATTACTTATTATTTCTGCATAATTTTAAAACCCCATACCACAATCCAACGCTTTTTCCTTTGATTTCAACATCAATCCACAAGTTGGACCTCTCTTTATCTACTTGCAAATCCTAATGAAAATCAATTGGATGCTGTTTACTTTCATTACAGTTGCAGATAAGTAAACGGTATCTCACCATTAGACTTATCAATTATTCTTGTTGAGTCTCGCCTTTGATATCACTTATTAAGGATGTCGGTTTTGGACATAACCTCCTCCTACACTTCACAAATTTATCAATTAGTTGGAAAACACTGTTTTCTCTAGTCTTATTTCTTTCTCTTCACAGGAATCGATGAGTTTTTTTTTTCACCGTGGTAGTTGTGAAAGTAAATCCTGCAGTACGGATACTGTTGGATGGTAAGTAAAGTTGAAAGGAAAAGAAAAAAAAAAATTCCTGTTATTTGTGTATATATTTGTGTGAGTGTGTGCATGAAAAACTGAAACGGCGTTCCGTGGAAGGGAGGGAAAGTCGGGTTGGGCCGTAAGCAAAAGATTTGTCCGAAGTGTGAGTGTGAGCATGACGATGTCACCTGAACATCCCCAGACCTCCAAATTCAAAAACAGTACCTCCCCAAATACATCTGACACTTCACCAAAAACCGCCACGTGGATCTGTTACAAGTACTTCTTCTCTCTTATCAATCATTCATACATTTGAATTTGACCACCTTTTCAACAAATAAAATAATCATAAACAAAAAAAACTCTTTTAATTTTCATTAATTAATCCATACATAACATATCTAATCCAACAACTTTACTTTGTTTGTAATTGTGACTACTTGGATGCTGACACTTGATCCATTCATATTTCCATATCAAAAAAGAAAGGAGAGGGAGAAGCCAGACTGGGAAATTTTAATGTGACTCGAGAAATTGTATGCTTTAGATATCAAAAGCTGACAGAGAAAAGAGGGTAAAAGAAAGGGGAGATCTTGTGCACTAAATTTCTGTCAATCATTAACACTAAAAAGGAGTGAGGAGTGAAACAAGGGGGACCAAAGTTTATCTGCTGAGATAATTTAATTTTGCCCAATTCCCAACTTCCTCTATTTGGCATGGAACCCAGTGGGAATTTGACCATCTAAATTAGTATTTCATTGAAGATTGAAAGTTGGAATGAGGATCTTAAAAATGATAAAATGGAAATTCATTCCTAATTAAATAGAAGATTGAAGTAATTTATAATGAACAATTTTACTACTGTAATAGTTGTAATGGAAGTGTTAATTTCTTTTATACAAAGTCTTTCTCCCCAAAAGTGCTGCCAATGGATGCCATTACTTCAAAATAAATGTTCAAAACCCCATCAACTAATCTATTTATTTGGAGGAATGATTTCAACCTTCTATTGAGCTTTTATCACTAAGAATATGTATAGAGATATGATGACATTTTCTTGTTTGTTGGATATCGCATTAATCAATTTCATGAAACATCTATCAATTCTTTCCACATTTTTTTTTCAATTTAGATATATTTACAAGAAATTTGGTGTAGGTTTAGAAAAATATAATTTTCAATCAACACCGTTCAAATGACAGGAACAACAAAATTATTAATGAAGTGAATTGAATGAGCACAACAATACGTTAGAGATGAATTTGAAAAAAAAAATAAGAAAATCACTTTTTCAACCGGTACTTTTAGAATAATTACAAATTATAGGACGTGTTTGATATAACTTTATGGGTGATTTAGATAGTTAAAAGTATTTTTAGAAAATTTTGATGGCTTTAATTAAATATATTATTAAATAAACACTTGCGAAATGATACTCATCCCATGTGTTTAAGTATCTAGTAGCGAAGAAATGTAGTAAAAAATTGAGTAACTCAAAATAATATTCCTAAACAAAAGAGTTCAATAAAAAAAAAAAAAAAGAGTGAGAAAAAGCCTGGTATCTTTCCAAAAGGAAAAAAAGGGCAGCGGAATTGAAATGTACACAAGTTAACGTGAAGTGAGGAAATGAAAAATACAAAAGAAAGACACAACACAAAGGGTTTTTGAAGAAGGATTGTTTGAGTGTGATTGACAAACAAAAAGTTTGTCACTCTATCATGGAACACCATTAAACCAAAGTAGCCTTACTTTTATGGCTGATTATGATTGCCATGATTAATTAATACCATTATTATTATTTCACTATTTTAATATAATTAACTAATTAATTGATTAATTAATCCTAAGCTCCTTGTGGTTATAGAGTTGTTTTCATGGGACCCATGGTTCATTAATTAATTTTATTTTCCAAATGCTGGTTTTCTAGTATGGAGTTTTAGTTTTAGTCAAGCTATCACGTCACTGTCTTGAAACTTTCTCCAAATTAATGCTGCCCTGCTTCATATATTATATTACTTTTTTTTCATTTTAAATCCATATTTTATTTACTAAGAACTTCCATTTATCTGCATATATTTATAGGAAGGCCGAGAAGGGGTTGACTCCATAAGATGGATGTAGTGAAAAGACTATGAACAAAAGGAAAAAACAAAAAAGAAGAGATATGATTAAAGAAATAAATCATAGTCATAACTCATAATACAGCAGATTCTGTTTTTTTTACCCCTCCAGCTTTCGTTACAAATAATTATTTATAAGACGGTACACATTTATAAAAATTTAAAACTATTTTTTTCGGGTAGATTGTTATGGTGGAGGCGATTTCTCACTAACCACGTATCAACATCTGATTAGGATGAAAGTAGTGAAATGTCCCTGTGTTAAAGTAAATATATCTCGGACTTTTCGAATAAAGGTAATTAGACCCAAGAAAGTATGTCGTAAGTCATCTAGATGATGGGTAGACCTGTGAATCTTACCTAGGTCACTTAAGATAAAAGTCGAGCCAAGTTTGAGTTAGTAGCTGTGTCGACCTAAGGACACTATTTCAGGAACGGAACGCCGACATAATCCACGATGACACGTCGTGATTCTCAGACTTTTAGAGAGCCATTGGAAGCTTGTCGAAAGCTACGTCGTTAGCTCCACCCGTAAATAGATACCTCATTTCACTCTTCAAGTATGTTAAAACTATATTCTCTCTTGAATATAGATCCACGGGACACTGACTTAAGCATCATAGTGTTAACTTTTCTTTGTGCAAGTTAACTTGTCCGTTCAATCATCTACCGTCCGAATGAAATTTCACGTACTTGGTCAAAATCTTGATCAAACCGTTAGGATAAAATCGTAATCACGAGCAGAAGTAAACAAGAAAGAGAACTATGAATTAAAGTGATTATTTTTGTAGTTGAAAGCACACGAACCCAAGTAAAAATTACCCACAAAATTAGAAACAGCAAAATTTGGTGGTTATGATCTATAAATTATAGCGTACTATTTGATATTTAAGAATCAGCATTTTATTTAAAGTTTAATAGTTGGGTATGAGAATAAATATATAAAAAAAAAAAAAAAGGGAAGGGAAAGAAGAAGGGTGACCCACAAAAGCCACACCCACCCTCTCAGAGACATCCAACCAAATAATTAAATAGCAAAACCCACCCAAAGAGAAAAAAAATATATAAAACGACAAAAAAGGTGTCAGAAACATCTGCGACGCAGGTTAGTTCATTAATTACCGGAAGTAGCCGGTGGTGGTCCGGTCTCCCGAAACCCTATGCTCCACAGTCCCCCCACTCCCCTCTTTCAAAAAACCAGAGAGAGAGAGAGAGAGAGAGAGAGAGAGAGAGAGAGAGAGAGAAGAAAGATCTATATTTGTGCTAAAACACACACAAGCAAGCAGAAGCAGAAGCAGTTGTCGTGTGAGTTCGTGTTGTGTTATGGCGGAGGGTATTGAATCCTACGACCACGTCCCCCAACAGAGCCGCAGAGACAAGCTTAGAGAACAACCCGACCGCTCCGCCTTCCTCCCAATCCCCATCCCCATCACCATGTACGATCCCTCCCTCGATATCCTCCCCTCCGCCGCCGCCGCCCGCTTCCAATTCCACCACCCCTCGCCCTCATACTTCGACCCCCACTCCTCTCTCTTGCCCGACATCCACAACCCGAACCCGAACCCGCTTTTTTGCTTCGGCGGTGCTGACGTGGCGGCCTTCAAGCCGGAGCCGCTCTCCCTCTCCCTCTCCTCCCACCCTTATGGCCATGGGCTTCTCCCGCTCGGCCCATTTACCGGCTACGCCTCCATTTTGAAGGCCTCCAGATTTCTCAAGCCGGCGCAGCACCTTCTTGAGGAGCTTTGCGATGGCGTTGGGCCCGATTCCTGTTTGCCCGATCCAACTTCTGACACTCTCGCCGAGACTGGAATTCTCGACGATCCCGGCCTCCACTCCCCTGATGCCCCTCCCGGAAATAAGTCCACTCTCCTTTCCATGCTCGATGAGGTCACTTTTTTAATTCCTTTTTCGTTTAATTTTCTCTACAAAACCCATCTGTTTCTTTCGATTTTTCTTGAAACTTGTTTTAATTTGGCTAACAACAACCAAATGTTATCTCTCAAGTTCGCTACTTTTTAGCTTTAACGAGTAGAAATCATTTGTAAACTTTCATCTTTTCTCCAGTTACTAGCGAGAGCCTGTTTTTGGGTATGGTTGATTAGTGAAAATTAATTTAAAAAGAAAAAAGAAAAGAAAAGATTCCTTTGATTATGTTGATGTTGATGTTGATGTCAATATGTTTGTTTGAAGTTAAACTAAACTAACATGCAATGTAATGCAATAATCAATCCTTCTCTGCCTTTTGGTTAACTTTTGGTTAATAGATTCCTTTTAATATAATTTATTATTTAATCTTTTCGAAAAAGGTGATTAGGGGGAATATATGCACAAATGAGTATATTGGCCTTTTAAAGTGTCTGACTAAGTAGCTACCATGAGTTCTTCTTGGAAGGAATATATTTACCAAGTCTGGGCATAATGTGCTTAATCAAAGTGATTGGAGGAATCCATTTTCACCATAAATGATTTATACTTGTATATAAAGTTGTTGTGAGCATAAATATATTCCAATTTTTTAAAATACTATGAATATAATGAATGCTTAGATTTACTTTTCTTTTTTTTTTCTTTTATTTTTGTTGGAGAGATTATTGTGTGTGTATGTCTGGAATGAATCTGATAATACGTGTAGGTTTCCCATTCGCTTATTTTCTCTATTCAACAAATTATAAGTGAGCTTAATTTAAGATTATCATCTTAAAACTGGTTATATATTTTCTAGGTTATGCATATTTTGTATCGTTTTCCACTTAATCCATGCATTGGATCCTTTACTCTCCAGTGTTAGCCGTTGATGTGTTACAAAGTGTTTGATCTGTTCTCCTTTTCAGATTATGCTAGACTTGTATCATTAATGAAAAATATATTCGTAATTTATGATTAATAAATACACTTGGAGGGTGCGATCATTCTAGCACTAATGCACCGGGTCCCATCAGAACTATAGGACGAAAGTAGTACTAAGTTGGGCAACCACTTGAGAAGTCCTTGTGTTGCACCCCTTTTTATTTCTACTTTGTCCTCTTTTCTATGCAAATATATACATATATAATACACACAATTGGAGGACAAAACTTCTCTACCCAAACAAAAAATATTATAGGTCGACGAAATAAAATTGTGTTTCGTTGTCACGGTACAGATATCCATTGTACTTTTGATAATCTTTTGAAGAATTACTTACTCATGTATTTTCAGCATGGAAGGAACTTTAATGTGTGATAGTGATGTTTTTACTACAAGTTGAGTAATGGGACGTAGCTTCTTTTGCACCCTATTGATCATTAATTTTTCCAGAGGCTAACTTCTGTTTCATTTATATTTCTAGGTTTATAGAAGATATAAGCAATACTATCAACAGATCCAGGAAGTAATGACATCGTTCGAGTACATCTCCGGGCTTGGAAATGCCGCACCCTATGCGAACCAGGCTATAAAAGCCATGTACAAGCATTTCAAGTGCTTGAAAAATGCAATTCTAGACCAGCTTCAATTCACTAAAAAGACTCATGGTGGCGACTACTGCCAAAGATCTGTTCAGAACTCGGGGTTTAATGACCATCAGCCTGTTTGGCGACCGCAACGAGGGCTTCCCGAAAGAGCGGTCACAGTTCTCCGTGCGTGGTTGTTCGAGCATTTTCTTCATCCGTAAGAACCTTTAACCATGTAGTATAGTTTCTGATTCGAGTACCAGGAAATTTGTGGTTAGTATTTTAGTTATGTTCTTGATTGCCATTTCTTTTGGGACAGTTATCCTTCTGATACAGACAAGCTTATGTTGGCAAAACAGACCGGCCTGTCTCGTAGTCAGGTCCAATCCGCTTTATTTTGTTAATTCAAAATTTGTGTCATCTTTTGAAGTTCATCAAATTCTTATTATTGTTACAATTGTCTCTAAAAGACAGTAATTGTTCTCATGGACAGGTTTCTAACTGGTTCATTAACGCAAGAGTGAGGCTTTGGAAGCCGATGGTTGAAGAAATCTACATGCTTGAAACAAAGCAAACACAGAAGAATTTGCATAGAGAAGATCGCAATGCGATCAGGCCGAGCGACCACCATCCATCGAACTCCCTCGCGTTGGATAACCCCTCTACATCTGCCCAACAACGCCAAGATACTCCTCAGAGACGCACCCGAAACGAGCCCCATGACATGCCACTCAGTACTCAAGACGAGCCATTGAATGTATCGTACGATTTGTTAAGCCATCCCCATGCGAACATGGCAGGCAATAATAACGGTGGAGTTTCCTTAACTCTTGGTCTTCACCAGAACAACGGCGTAGGGAGCTTCTCAGAATCCTATCCTGTCGGGTTCCCGGTTGCAGCAGCGACTCGACGATTCGGCCTCGGGATCCAAGCGAACGGAGACGGGTACGTGCTGGGTGGATTCGAGGCACAGAATCGGCATTTTGGTAGAGATGTTCTTGGAGGTCAGCTGTTACATGACTTTGTAGGCTAAAATTCAAATGTGAAAAGGAGAAGGAGAGGGCTATTTGGTAGTGAAAGTTGTATTTATACCGTATAAAATGTGGGGTTAGATTAGTACTACTACTAGAGAGAGCATAAGCAAAATTATTCAATGTGAAGAAGAAGATGAAGAAACCTGTAAATGGCTTTTTACCTCCATTTTCCGACCGGAAAAAGAAAAAAAGAGGAAAAAAAAAAGAAAAAAGGAGAATTCAAAGTCAAAAAGTTGCTTTGTGGAGCTATCTTGATTTAGATGCCATTATTTGCCATTGTTTCTTACAGAAGAGAAGATGCTGTAACGATTTCTTCGAATGAAAAAAAGAAAAGAAGAGGAAAGAAAAGGGGATTTGTAGCTACTATTATTGAATCAAATATTTTATATGAATAATCGTTTGGAATTCAACCCTAGTGGCTGTTTGGCTTTTTTATGTATTTGATTGAAGTTCAAAGTGTCATATCATGAATCATGATATCTCGTGCGGTTTACTATTTTTTTTTTTCTTTTCCTTCTCGTAATCATAGGCCATTTGAATTGATGGCGATAAAGCATTGATGAAAAAGCATGAGAAAATCCCACTTTTGTGTCTATGCCTAGTTTATGTAAAAAAAAAGTTGCACCTTTTTTACAGTAGATTTTGTCAAAAATTGGAACTTTTTTTTTTTTACTATTGAAATGAAAAGCTAATTGGGAGTTCATGTTCTCTCCTCATTAATTATTAGCTATTACATGTATCAATTCAAACATACAATATAATACTTATTATTATTCTAAAATCAATGGTTCAATTTCCACTCTTGTAGTTAATTGTTGAATTAAAAAGAAGATTATTGTACATACTTGTCATTCTTATTTGTAAAATTTATTTTTCCAAAAGTTGATAATTTTATCCAATTTATCATTAGTGGATATATGAGATATTAAGGAGAATTGTGTAGGACTACATCAATAAAGTTTGTATTGTAGACTATATTAAGCTAATTCATTTTAACCCGTTCTTTTTAGAAGGCTAATTTGTTTTAATCTAGTTCTTAATATTTTTTGAATTCACAATCATGTGGATGTGAGGATTCAAACTTCTGACTTTTTGGTCAATAATACACAGCTATGCTCGCATTGACACCTAATTTTTAGACATTTGCTACAAATTTTAAACTTTCCGAGATTAATTTTAATGCATATCTAAATATAGATATTTAATTGTGAATTCCACACTGCATGGTGGAAACCCCATCTATCTAATTTTTGGTTTTCTCTAACTATTTAGATATATAAGTTATTTTCCTTTTGAGTAAAAGCTGGAACTTGGCGTTAGAAACCGGGTAGAATGAGCGGGCCCATTTATTGGGCCGGTAGGTTCACTTTTTTATCTCCTAAAAAGAAATTGGGCCTTCTCTTTTTTGTCTTTAAACAAGAGTGGGCCTAGTTTTCCAGTTAAAGATTGACCAGATGAGGTGAAGATATGGGGAATCTATGTTCTCTACATGGGAGTATTAAGCACCATTAATCAACTTTAATCACCATTGAATCCAATCAGTTAGGTAACTTTCTATAATAATTTGTACTTTTTGGGCCCTAATAAAGGAGAAAGTAGGCAAATCTGATACAGGAGAAAACGTATCACAAAGTTTTTTTTTTCTTTGTCTTTTTGAGTTCATAAAGTTTATAAATATATGTTAATGGTGCTAATATCGGCTAGTTTGAAATGGTGGGGTGCAGGTTTCAGTACAAAAGTTTGGTGTTACTCTTTTCTTCCTAGATTGAAACTTGGACTGCTAATTTAATTTCCTATAATAAAGTGGCCTAGTGGGTTGAATTTCGACCTTATGGAAAATGTTAATTGAAGGGTAGTTTTGTAATTGGATAAAAATCGATATGCTACAGGATTTAAAAGTTCAATGGACATATTTGGAATTTCCAAAGCCCATAGTTTATACAACTAAGATAGCTAAATATAGATTGTTCATTAAGTGGTTTATTGAAGTAGGCTAGTTCGAATATTCCCTCTCATTATCATTTTATTTTAATTCTTTTATAATGATGAGTTTAATTAAGGTTTTAAATGTCGATGTCGATAGAAATATAGATGTCTTTTTATGGAAATATCGATAAAATATTGACGTCGATTGATATTTCTATAAAAGTTAGACAAATTAAAAGAATCATATAAAAAATTTAAATTAACCAATAAACATTTTTCTATTTCTAAATAAGTTAAAAATAGTTAATATTAACCTTAAGCATATATTAGTGACATTTTGTTGATTTTTTTTTTAATATGATAGAAATGTCGATTTAGCTCTCCTGTTGATGTCGAACCTATGAATACATGAAAATGTCAACGTGTCGATAGATATTTAATACCACAAGTTCAACCATTGTGAGTTGAGAATCAAACCATCGACATAAATAATGAAATCGTAATAAATGACTTATTCACCAAGGTTATGCTCGAATTGACATTTTTGAAGTGATTAAACTTACAAAGATCTGCGTATATAAGACACAATCATATGAAAGGAATAGTAATTGAGAAAAATTGTGAAGAAAAATGTAGGGCAATATTTTATTGATAAATAGGGTAAGATCTCTGATCCTACAGAGAAAAAACAATAAAAAAAAAAAGTAGTCAAAGAAAGAACAATCACTGTCCAAAAAAAGGAAAGCTTCTTCCTTCTTACAATTGGCAAGGGAAGAACAGAACCCAACTCATAATTTTAGTAGAGCACCTTATCATGTGTCTCTCCTTTATGCACCTTTTTCTAAAAAAATAATTGTAATTGTAATTTTATATGCTTTGGAATATATTTTCTAAAACTTTGAAACCCATTATAAATACTGATGAATTTACCACATTAGGTTCAGCTCTTTCTGAAACCAAACCTTCCTCCCCAGTCAAAACTCTCTCCTCTGCCATTTTTTTTTCTTTCTGCAGTGAACTTTAGTTTTATGGTTTTTATTGCATAAGGATCGGGTAATCTGCATCCTGAGGTTTAGATCCGAATATTAAAATAAAAATGTCTTCTTTTCTAGCCCTCGGGTTGCAGATTACCTCTTCCTTACTGGCAATGCTGGATTTGGCTATCAGATTATCAACTCTCCTGCAAGGTTTCTCTGATTTTCCTTCTGTTTTTTCATGTTATGTTCTCTCAAGGTTTCACGTTATGAACATGGTGGGATGGTGATGATTCTTCTGGCACCTACTGCAAGATTAAATACCACACCCATGTAAGCCTTCTTTGATGCATATGTTGCTATATAGGAAAGATTTTACTCAAAGAATGGTAATCAGAAATGTTTCTATCTGTACAAATTTGAACAAAAATGAATTACTACACTTTGTTCATCTGTTTTCTAGTTGAATAAGCTTGTTTTGTTAACCTTCATTCGAATTTCGATGCGATTCGGTACATAAATTCTTTTATTATACTCATGCAAAACTTTAACACAAAAAACAGCACAAAATATATGCTAAATATTAATTACTATCTATCTGTATGAAACCCCATTATCCTGAGCTCTGGAATGGATGATATCACCTGAGGATGAGAACAAAGATGGCTGATTAACTTTTCTGGCGCACTCCTAAGGTTTCTTCAATGCTTTTGGAGAAGTCTCTTCCGTCCTTGAAGATGAGAAACTCCATTATATCCACATGGAAGAAGATGAAACTCCCACACAAATGTGTAATGCAACCTCCAAAAGCTTTTCCCACAACACAGTGCCATGCCGGGCCATAAGCTTCGTCAAATCTCTAATTGTCAAAGCTCAAAGTAATATCAGTATGCAGTTTATTACAGATACTATTTTGTAATCTTTCATTAACAGTGTCACGGGTTGGTCCATTCAATATTATATAATTTGATATCAGCAGCTTTTTCTCCATATTATACTGAGATGGTTCACAAACCAGCGAAAAGAAAGAAATGATGAACATGGGAACTTCTGAGTCATTTCATTCAAAATGATGTCCCTTTACTCTTTCAGACAAGTTGATTCAAACATCATCCACACAAAGTATATTCCAGATTTAGTCTCATCAGATCAGATTGGTGGATGACGTGTACATAGGTCATCTATGTTTGTGTGTGTAGAAACTTATAGTATCTGAAAATGACATACACTCGAATATTTTAAGAAGGGAAAGGTAACTTTGTTTATTGATGAGGTTACTGTGAATGATGAGGCATATCTTCTTTATATCTTAAAAGGGTATCAGCAACTTTTACAGGTTAGGAAAATGAATCTTTTTAATCTATTATTGCAATGAAAGGACTCGTCTTCTTTTTTTGAAAAAAAAAAAGGGAAAAAGAGGATACTATTAATTAATAGAATAGAAATATAAATCACTACATAAAGAAGATTCTGAATGTTAAACCTGTTTGATAAAACGGGCAATGGATTGACAGTCGGAAACTTCGTGATGATCAAGTGCTTTATAAGCCAACTCAAGGACATGGCTCTGGATCCCCTCTGGCATGTCTGTTTCGCGGACCGCAGCTTTGCCCTCCAACATCTTCAAAAGCGATGACAGGTTGGCTTTTCTCTGTACGAACCAACAGCCTGCAAAAGCATGCGACCCCAAGCCCTGCAAATTTATAGCCAAATGTCAGGGAAGTGAAGTGTAATTTGATAAAAAGGAGGATACTTGGGTAATCTGGTGGCTGTGCTTCAAAGCCAAATGATGATATTTCCGTAGTTGCTCTCTGCGCTGCTCAGAAAGACCCCCATTTCTTTTACCTTTAAAACAACAAAATTAGCAAACTTTGTCTGCATTAGCAGGAGTTAAATCAATACAGTTGTAACACAATAATATCTTCTGAGAAACACATACTTCTGTGTCACACAACATATTAATATAAGATTTCAGAGTTGGGAATTAATTCTTGGACGTTTGGATTGGTGGCCTCCGAAATCACAGAAAGGGATATTTGGTTTCCTTGGATTTGCATTTGTGATGGGAGTTGCACCGCCCAACTCACACTCACAGCCATTAATGAAGTCATAGGGAAATGCCAAACATTTAAAATGAGAATGTTGAAAGTATATTCTTAAGACAAATATATGGAAGACTAGAATCTTAAAACTTGTGAGTGGAAATCTCTCGAGCTACTCTTGCAGCATAAATTTTCCAAGGAGAGGTTTTGATGATCAAAGCTTTGAGGTCAGCATGTAAATGACAAAGAATGCAATGAACCAAATAAGTTAAATATTCACGAACCTTGTCAACTTTTTATTGCTACAGGATATTGGTTTTACAGCAGTTCTGAGGAGACAATTACAGTAAATTTTGAAATATAAGTTACACTGTGGTTGGGGGGGGGGACCATGTTCCATACCCCAAGAGATCCAAGAGGATGGCTTTAGTGAATCGAGATTTTAGGCTATTAGAGTGTGGCACCTTTTCTTTCTTATTTTTCCAACTCCAGGGGTTCCCAGAGATACAAAGGACATGCCATTATAATTAAGATGGTCTTACTGCACTCCACTCCATCTAGCCCAGTCGACAAATTGCATTCCAGCATACACGTTATTGCCAAACCGTATACCAACAGTGAAAGCCAAAGCAACTGCTGGAATGTGCTTTGCTAATGGTGATGATTCAACTACGCGCTCTAGTCCATTGATGATCTGATAGCGCGTATTCGAAGATATTGCAAGGAAAACACCTGCAAGTTTGGGTGCAAGAAGAGACAACTTTAGTGAAAAAGAAACAAAAACCAGTTTGACCCATTGAAAAGTACCAAAAATTAAAACTGCAACTGAAAAAGAATCTCATAACTCTAAGGCAGTAGGCCTGATCGTTATAGACTCCATAACCATAAGAACCTCAGAAAAGATAAGTTTCTGGCAAAAGAAAGGCAGATAAGACTGCAAGAGATTTTTTGCTCCAAGGTATCACAATTCCTCAGTCAGTCCAGAGAGTCCTTTCTCTACTCTGTATGTATGTCAAGTGAAATTGGGCAACCACACTTCAGGTTTCACAAACTTATGAATCCAACAATACATCAAACTCATATCTAAACATATCTAAACAGAGTAAATAGAATCCTATCTGTATTTGGAAATTGAAGAACAAATTATACGAAGTAAACTCCTAATCAGATGGACTGAGCGTGGTAAAAATATTAACCCAAGCATAGTGCATTAGATTAAATCAGATGAGTTCTACCACCTGAAAGTATGCGGGGAGCATGAGCTTCACAAGTGTATGGAATGAAAGAGAAACAAATAATAAACATGAAACATATACAAAAAATTCCAGACATGCAAAGTAATTATTTAGTGAGGGTAAAGCAAAGCAATAGGCAAAGCAGCGACCTTCATATGAACCTGGGAAAACCAATTGAATATAATTGAAAGAATATTAAAACACGTGAGTAATACCCCAAAGAGCTGCACTCTTGAAGAGAGGTGGTACTGGTACATCGTTTTCAGATTTCTTTATGCTCCTGATGTATGGAAAAAGAAAAGGATGAGGATCACCTAAAAAAACTAAACATGCTTAATAATTCAAAAGAAAAATTTCCAGGTCTGTGAAAATGCAAAGAAACTCAGGGACACAGGGGAAGAGCTTAATGATGCTGAAGAAGATGAAATGAGTGTGTAACTAGAGTCTTAAATCAAGAATCATAAGGATTATTATAGTAAAGGATCTTGTGAATCTAGACAGACCTTCTAGTACCAGAGTATTACTTCCTATTATTACGTCAAACCCTCAACACTTGGCATAGCAAGGAGCATATATTACATGTGTGTGTGATGAAAAGGAGAGCAGATGAAATGCTTTGAGTTATCATCATGAAATACAAACAAACTAGAGAATATTACCTTTTTGCGGTCATTATTAAATTTGCAATGCCTTGGCCGATTATTCCACATCCAAATCCTACTGCACCATACACAAATCCCTGAAAAGAAAAGTACAAAAATAAGTTAGCTAAGAGATAAAAATAGATCTGGCTAATGGTAATAGATCTGTAAGCCTCACCTTATAGAAAAATGTGGCAATTCTTTGTTGTATAGAAAATCTGCATCCTGGTCGTTCAGCTTCAAATACACTACACATGAATATAGTTTCTAAACATATTGATTTCGAAAGGGACGGTAACAACTTACAAAGTAACACAACTCAGTATCAGGGATCTTAAACGTTAGTTCAATTATATATTTTAAGAAAAATTATGCAGAGTTCAACTTGGCCAAGTTAGCAACCTGCTTGGTAACGCTCCACAAGCATGTTGAATGCGTCCAAGGAAACCTTTTGACACAGATGGTTGCCCAAAACGAGCATAAGGTGCCAACAAGGCAACCAAAGCAAAGTTAACTGCCACGCCAACCAAAATATCAGCAAGGTAAAGCTCAAATTCTGTCCAGAAATCTTTGCCTCTCTTTTGAACTTCCGCAAAAGTAGCACAGCAAGAATCAATAACTAACTGCCCATATTAAATCAGTGATTTTCAAAATTCTGTATGACATCCTGAGTTATGTCAAAACTAATATAAGACAAAAAAATATATTAAGCATGTCTGTAAAACATGATCATGCACAAGCCCCCAATCAATGATGCTGCCTAGTCTATCCTGATTAGCATTTAAGTGCCTTCCCAAATAATTTCCCTTTTCATTCCACTTCCAGAAGTCATTGTATTTAGAATTTGCAACCTAGGACCCTAAAGATTTGGCTTGGCCTTTGTTTTACCTATCAAACTAAATCTGGCCATTGGTCAATGGCTAAACATGTCAACTTCTTCAATACATGTTCCTTCCGGCATCATCATAATCATATCTCTGCAAATTTTATCAGATAGAAATTTGCAAGAAACATGGTAACAGGATGAGCTAACAGACCTCCACGCCAACTTTGAAGAAAAATGATGGATCCGCCAGCACCCGATTTCGAATCATAGAGCAGGATTTCATCAAAAAGCCAAGAGGCCAGCCTAAACCCTTGAATAATCAAATAAGGAAATTGGTAAGCAGAGATGGAAAGATGTAATAGAAAGTTATCTCTCACCTTCTAAGTTTATAGAACTATGTACCCCATCACTAAACATGAATACAGAATGAAAAAATAAATAAATTTACCTGCATCTCCAAATATCTAAGCAAAAGCAGTTTGCGAATTCCCACGCTCTTTGCTGCCTCTAACATATCTGAAGGAAGGGTCACCCCTCGTGATTCCATCTCTTTCATCACCTCCTCAAATTTCATAATTGGGCCAAATTCCTCCTCGTCTTCTTTGTCTCCGCTGTTGTCATCGCCGCCACTCCCGCCACCACCTCCTCCACCGTGATTATAAGTTCCATTCCCACCGTTGCCATCAATTACATCTCCCTGGATATCATTGTCCACTTTTGATATCTCTAAAATTCTGAGATCCTTATCTCCAATTGAGTCATCCCCTTCCTTCAGAATAGTTACAGCAGCCGCAGGAGCTTCCGAATCAATATGCGACTGCGAAAAATCCATCATCACCGAAAACTTATCTTTCCTTTTCCGAGAGATGCATCTCCCAATACTCTTTCTAACCGCAACTGGATAAGCGACCTCCTTCACCAAACTCCTGAAGCTCCTGCAGCCAAAAACCGCCTCCTGGCTCCACATCTTCCCCAAAATCACTTCATTCCCGAACTCTAAACAGTACGATGTTCCAAACACGGCCATAGTAGAGAATTCAACTCCGAATTGTCGACCAATTTATAACTCCACAAGAGAAAACCACAAGCAAACAAAAAATACTCTCAGACTAACGCACAAAATCACTAATGAAATCCTCAACTTCTAATCAGCACACGACGCACATATAGTTCTTTAATCATCACGATTAGTAAGTTACCATTCTTGTTCCGATCAACAACGATACGTAGCTCGAAAAATGAAAGAAATTAAAGGAAAGCCATAAATAATGAAACAGTGAGTATACCTCTCCGGCGAACCGCGAAGAAGCTAAAGAAACGGAAATCGAACAAATTCGATTCAGGAAGTCGCTGTCATTCAGATAAAAACTATATCGGAGGCGGAGGCGACGGCGGAGCACAGCCGCGAAGGTTCCGGTGAAACTATATCATAAATGATTAGATTCTTCTTCTACTTCTGCCCCTGCCTCTCTTTTTTTAACTTTAGAAAGTGGCGCTATAAGTTTGTTGGGTGGCAGTGGCAGCAAGCGTAGCGGTCCCGCGCGTCGCAACAATGGCAAAGAGGTTGTATTTAAAAAGAAAAACAATTAACATTGCCTCATTTTATTCGATTTCTTTTAAGTTTTACCAGAAAGTCTAATTACTTTTTCCTAAATTTTATTTTCCACGACAATATTCACGCATGCCTACAAAAATTCTGACCGGTCACGTTACTATTTCGCTCACAGAACTTGCAACTTGAACATTTGATAATTATTTATATTTTTAATTTTTATTTCTTCAGACAACCTTAAAACTTGTATAGAATTTTAAAATTGTATTATTTGTCGGTTATGTTTTCAATTTAATTCAAAATATAAATGTAAATATTATTTTATCGCTCTTAAATTCATGGAKGTTGGTATCATGTATTTTTATTTTTCTTTATTAAAGAAAAAAAATTACCAAATGGATTCTATAGTTTCTATGATTTTTTATTTCAAATCGTTTAATTGAATTTTTTTAGTTAAATTATGGATTTATTTTTTGTGGTTTGGAATTAATTTTATTTTTTTTCCTTTTAGTTAAACAATTACGAGTGAGAGATTTAATCATCACTCTTAAGGATAGTAATAGAGATAATTATGATTTAGTCTTTGTTTAGACCTAATTTTGTTTTCGCATTTTACAAGGTTTAATTTAGCTTCATATTCGTAATTGATATATACCTCCAACCATGAAGTTGTGAGTTTAATACCCCACCCCCACATGTTGTACTAAAAAAAATTTAGTTTCATAATTGGGTTAAAGTTTACAAATTGGAAATTAATATAATATGGTCCAAAAAACTTTTGTACCCACTTAAAAACTTATTTATTTTAAGTCTCTTTTAATTACTTTTGAACTCTAATAACCTAGCCAAATAAACAACACTATCTTATTTCGATCATCTACATTACATGTTGTGCTAAAAAAATTGATTATGTTTAAACATTTTAAATAAATCATAAATATCAAATTGAAACTAAATTCATTCATAGATATTAAATTGAAACTTTTCAGGATAGAGAGTTGAAACTAATTTAACCAACAGCTTTTATGACGATGAATCAACATTTTCATTTGACATCTCTCCATTTTAATTAATATAGTAAAAGAGAGAAGAAGTAACTGAATTCTACTTGAAATTCAAGAGGTATTGACCAAGTCATTTTCATGTTATAAATAATAAAAAAAATGCAATCAAATAATTGAATGATAAAATTAAAAAATGGAAGATGATTGAAACTGATGAGGGCAAATTGGCTACCATAAAAGAGCCGACGCGCCAGCGGAGTGGGCACGAAAAATGCCAAGTTGCCATGGAATTGATGGGACAATATGCTTCTTCTTCTTCTTCTTCTTCTTCTTCTTTTCATTCTATATATTCTACAATCCCTAATTTCTCCTTTGGAGGAATTGAAAAGCCATATTTTAAATTAAAAAAAAAAAAAAAACTGAAAAGGCACTTTAGGCACTAAATACTTGCTCGCTTTTCATTGTTTAGGCATTATAAAAATCAAAAGCTTTATGTCATATTCAATGATGGATGGTTAAATATTTGGTTGCCATCCAATTTGTTTAATTTTATCTTCTGTCCTCGATTTATCTTTCTTTTTTGTCTTGATCTTAGATTCCGATTATTATTTTTTTCTTTTTTAAATGACAATATGTTGGTTTTATAAGTTATTCCATAAAAAGCAGAATAAGACAGAAGAAGTGAAAAACGAAGTTGATGCTCATGGGAAAAAACGCAATTAACAAATCGACTACTAAAGTAATTTGTTTTAATATGTAATATGTAGTCGAGGATTAACATCATACCTCTAGAAAAGAAGAAGATACTTTTTTGACTCCTAAACTATGTTCATATACGTTCATGTTGACTACCTGAAAATCATATTGTTAATAATTTAAAATGTGGGATTAGAAATTTCTCTTCCACAAAAATAATAAAATATAAACAATAATACGCTAAAGTAGAAAACTAATAAAAATAAATGACGACATAATTTAATTGGGTTGTTCCGTGTTTTTTACAACAATATTATAAAATAGAACACATTAATAGAGTTGGCTAGATGCTTTATATCGACCATACAATATATTTTTAGTGTGATATATACGTGTTAAGGATCACTAATTAGCAAAGGTTTATAATTTACGTTAGTTACTTTCTCATTGTTAATTGGTTTCGAGATTGAACTACATAAATATGGATTTGGTATCAACTATGATCTTGAGATTGAGGAGATCAAATATGAGCCGCTAAAAATTGGCTATTATTTCTTTCGAAAACTTTTTTTTTCTTTTTTATATTCTTTCTCTACTGGTAAAAAACGTAATGGTGATTGATAACAAATTTCTCCGGATACCTAAAATGTAAACGTTATTTTCTTCTTGTCAAACTATCGGTGACAAATCTTCTTTTATGCCATGGTGTAGAAGTTTCATCACAATTGAACATCTATTTTACTTATTTACGAAACTAAGCAAGAGAACATATATAAACGAATGTGTAAACCATATAATAAACTACATTTATGATTGCATTTAGCTACAAAGATATTTTTACAATTTATCACACTAAATAGTGAAGTAAACTAACTATAATAATAATTTTTTATTAAAAGGAGATATAAAAAAATATTTTTACCCATGAACTTGATACAATTAACCAACTTTTACCTTAAATTTTCAGTTTCATCAAATGAGATCTTTGGTAGATATTTTATTTTATAACTTTTGTGTTGAGTAAATATATGATGTATATGTAAACTGGATAATAATAGCAACAATTTACAACGTAACTGGTTACAAACAATTATAGATCTTGACAACTTGATGAACACCAAAACTTGATCAAAATAGTCGAAGGCACGCTTCAATAGCGTTGACCTGAAGACAATTATTCGCCCTGCACAAGTTGCTAGCAGACTACAGCGATCGTCTCAGCAGGATACAACGACTAACTCCGGTAGAACTACAACTTCGAACTACTCAGATCTGGCAGAACTCTTAGACACTTGCTCTCAACACAAACAAGAACAAGAACTCAAAAAGAAGAGAAAATTCTTGTGAGAGGAGGAGAATACTCAATTGAGGTATGCTTGGATATTTTAAAATGAAGAAAATCACAACTATATATAGTTGTTTAAACATAAAACTCCTCACACAAGAATCAAGTTCAACTTTAACAATATGAAGAAAAACTTCTCATTTGAAGTATAACTTCAAGTTTAACAACATGTAACTATAACAAAATAAAGTTACACAACACAAAATTGAAACAAAAACAACTTATGAAATAAATAATGACTTTGTTACAAAGGTAAAATAAATTTCAAATTCTTAATACACAAATTTAATTTTCGGATGTTAAATTTGTATACTCAACCGTTTTTTCAATATCTTCAAGTTTCACCTTCTTTCACTATTAAAAATCCAACACTTTGTACTTGTTTGTTATGTTCAAAAATAATTGACCAAGTTTAAGTTCTAACAAAGTCATCCACAAAAATTGTGTTAGATCACAAGATGAATTATGAATAAATTTATTAAAACTTGTCCATCTCAAAAAAAAAAAAAAAATCCAACCAAAGTGTTTTCAAAAGCCTCACAAATTTCGTATAACGCGAAATAATTTTTAATGGACTATTATTGAAAGACTTGGTATACGATAATAATGTAACCATGGGAAGAGAAAGTCCCTTTTTGGGTGAAAATGGGAGGGAGATAAACGAGAGAAATATTTAAAAAATTGGGACAAATACATAATTTCATATGAAAGTGATGTAAGTGAAAGATTATAAAACTTTAATTTTAAAAAGAACGGTAAAAATTAAATTTATATGGAAAAAAAGGTTACTCATCCCAATATCAAGATTGTAAAAAAAAATCTAGTTGGATGAAATTAAATGTTAATAAAATTTGACTTAGAAGTAAGGAGTTTTTGAAGTAAAACTTGTATCCCCTACAGAAAAATTAATATTATATCGAGAATCACAATTAGAGAAAAAAAAAGAAGAATAATTATAGTAAATAACATAGCATAAATGGAAAAATAAGTAGTTGAGTTTTGAAAAATACTCTTCACTTTTTATTTTTTTTAATTGTCACAAAAGTGACTTTTAGTTGGTCTTCTACAATTGTATAAGTTTGTAATTAATACCATTTTGTAAAATTTTTAACTTAATGTTATATATATAAAAATACATATTTATTCTTTTATTATTTTATAATTTCGTAAAAAAAATAAAAGAATTTGCGGCAAATTCCTGACGAAGGTTGGTTTGCCCACGTAAGATAGACAAGTTTCTGGCTTACGAAATTTGGAAAAAATATTGGGCCACTCCCATTCGCCAATGACGATTCGGTGTAGATTTCCACAATTAAATATGAAAACTTTTCTCTTTCTCTCTCTCTTTCTAGTGAAAAATCAAAATGGTCAATTCTACACATTTTTACGTCCATGTAAAAGTAATTAAAGACATGAATGTGGGATAGCTACGTCATACTAAAAAATGAAGATGACGCTAACTTTAATCTTAGTCTTTTTCTTTTTCTTGACTATGGGACGTGAAAATAAAAATTTGAATTCACAATTTTTTGATATGAAATAGATGTTTTAACCAATCTAACTATGCTTAAAACGAAACTAAGGTTTCAAATGAAAGATTAAAATTGAATGATGGATGAACTTATTTTATTATTTCTAGGGTTTTTGGCTATAGATTTAACCTAATACATGTAAAAAAAATAAAATGAATTAGATGCCAAATAGTATTTACCAAAATAATTTCAATCAATAAATAGATTAATAATTACCAATCTTATAAATCAAAGATCTATATATTCTTTCAGATACTATAAATCAAAGATTACTATCACTAAGTTTTTTTTTTTTTGGGCAACCATCTCAAAAAAATAAAGACTAGGTAAAAATTTCTCGAAGGTTGGTTGCAGGCAATAGAACAAATGTGAAGAAAAGAAGGGAGGGGGAATTTTCAATGCTGAATTTTTTTGTATTATTCATTACGACAATTTTCACATAGTACAAGAGAAATAATATAGTACTTAAAAAAATATATATATAGCACTCATCCTAACGTCTAACACTACCAAATGAGAGTTCAAAACCAGCTCATTAGAAAATATATATATATATATATATATATATATTACAAGTCAAATGGGTATACAATAATGTAGCCTAAAATATAGCTTATCACCAACTCATACACAACAATATCAAATTAACAACAATCATGTAATGGTTGTATCAGAACTCGGAAGGATCTTCACTTGGGCTTGATCATTCGAATGAAGTGAGAAGTTCCACAACTCTGCTCATCGCTGGCCTCAAATTTCGATCTTCCATCACACACAATAATCCCACTTTCAACAATATCTCAATCTTGTTCATATCGTTGCTCTTTAGCAATCTAGGATCAATCACTTTTTCCCTATAATTTCCTTCTTCTACACTCTCGATCATCCACTTTACTAGATTACTCCATTCTCCTCCGTCTCTATAAACAGTGGACGATTTAAAATTAGATGCACTTTTTCCACTCACTAGTTCTAAAAGAAGGATGCCGTAGCTGTAAACATCTGCCTTTGCGTCGATTTTTTGGTTCATCATCCATTCCGGCGCTAAGTAACCTCTCGTCCCTCTCACTCTTGAGAATCCACTTTCATTGATCTCACGAAAAAGTTTCGACATTCCAAAGTCTGCGACTTTGGGCTCCAAATCCTCGTCGAGAAGTATATTTTGAGGCTTGATGTCGCAATGAAGAATCCATTCGAGACATTCTTCATGCAAATACGACAAACCTTTTGCTGTTCCCACTGCAATCTCGTATCTTTGCTCCAATCTCAATTCTTCGGATGAATTCAAGAATAGAAGCTTGTCCAATGATCCATTTTTCACGTACTCATAAACTAACATCTTATGGTGTTTTTCGGTGCAGAACCCCCACAATTTCACTAGATTTTTGTGGTTGATCTTCCCAATGATGCTGACTTCTGCCCAAAACTCTGCATCTCCTTGTAAAACCCCTTCTAATCTCTTCACAGCCACAACTCTCCCATCCTCCAATTCTCCTCTGTAAACTGTCCCAAACCCTCCTTTCCCAATCACCTGCTTGAAGTTTCTCGTCGCTCTCTTCAATTCTGCGTATGTGAATCTTTTGAACCCCATGGCCAAAGCAATGTAACCCATATTCACCAATTCTTCATTGACCCTCTTGCGAAACACATTCCACCACCCAAAACCGAAGAAAATGAACTCAATGAACCCAACAACACTCACAAACCCAACCAACAATCCCATATATCGAAACTTATTTCTACTTTCCTCGTAGATTTCAGAGTCCAGAACAACCTCGGAGGCAGAGCATATCAAATCACTCGAATCAAACTCTTCTCGAGGGATGGCTCTTCCTCTTGGAATCTTTATATGCATAAGAATATTGCTATCGGGCTTCCGATACCCATTTCGAAGCGAGCCTTTTGGAAAACACTGACCGAGGCCGTCCGTTGAATACCCAAATCCCAAACACTGGCAATCACTTAGACAAGAATTCCTACAAGTTTCAACGGAGACTCCCACGGCATAACCCAACAAGTCATAGCCATAGTAATCCGTCCGAGGAAGAAGAATGAAATCCGCATCGTTGGGATCACAAGTCAGATTGAAAGAAGGTTTACAGCCTTTACTCCAATCAGAAGGATCAATTCTGGTGAAACCAGGAGGACAAACGCAAGTGGGCAATGGATTGTACGAACAAATCCCAAATTCTCCGCACAACCCATGAACCAAACAGGCATCAAGCCGCCCATCCGGAAGCCACGAGACTGTCCAATTGCCGCTCGATTCTTCAAGACTGTACAATCTCAAAACCCCATCGTAATCCATCGTTAATCTCCTCTTCGGACCAACCCCATAATCAATAGCATTGAAATTCAAGTTGTCCGTGGATTCAAACCTTCCCAAATCGCTCAAAATCGCTACTCTGGAGCTATTATAACGAGTTCTACCGTTATCAAACACGCTCACAGTCGGATCAGGCCAGTAGATGCTAGAAAGCGAAGGGCTATTAAAAATGAGATTTAGAACATTGTCGTCGTTGAATTTGAGGTAATAGAACCCAGAAAAATATGTACCTGGACTTCTCATTGAGACCAACGTCGAATTCTTGAGAAATTGTTGCTGAGGAAGCAGAGTATCCGTTGGGGAATCGAAGCTCTGCCAAATGAAATTTCCCGTTTCATTCACCAGCACCAGATTCCCATTTTCGAGAAGCCGAAGCTCGATTTGCTGTCTTGTAACGGTCTTGGAAGACCATGTGATTGAGCCATCGGCATCGGTTAGTACCAAATTTCCATCGCCGCCGAGGGTCAGTTTGGATTTCTGCCCATTAACTGGCTTGTCTCTGTTGGCCATCCAAACGACGGTTTTATCAGAACTTTTTGCGAACCATATTGAATAACAGAAGGAATTGTTGCCGACCCTGTAAAACCCAGAAGAAAAAGTTCCATCTGGGGAAATTAGGAACTGATTCTCTTCCTCAACGGCCAAGGACCATCCTTTTGTCAGCCTCTGCAACCCTGGTGGAGCTGCTTCAGCCACATCCGAGAACGGTGCTAGAAGGAGATAAATTAGAAAGCTTGGGACTAACATTGCGAGCTCGGAAATGCTTAAAATGTGTATGAACTTGCGAAAATGGCAACTTCTGTACACAAAGATTTCGGACTAATATAGAATTTTTAGAATCTAGTTTCTAATTCTGGGTCAATGGCCGCTTGGAAAAGGCAAAATTGGACTTTATGGAAGTCATTGTCTTGCTGGAGCTCATTTTCAGTACTTGGCAGGCAGAGCACAGAAGAATGATTGAATGGTTTTGTACAAAAATATATGGCTATTTATTTTTGTTTTCCCAAATACCAGTGAGTATCAGCCTAGATGACCCTGCAACTATAAAAAATAATTTTCAAATTTTATGATATAGTTGGAGGTACGTGAAACGTGATAGAAGATGACTGGACGTGGAAGGTGACACGTGGCTCATAAATCTTATGGAGGATTAATCCAAGTATACACATCTCGACTCATCTATTCGATCGAGCCGAGCCCTTTCAGTGCCTGAGCCGAACAAGCATGTTCATAATCGTGTTCCTATATCATTGGTTGAACCGATTATCTTATCTCAACTCGGTCACACCTCCGACACATCCCACGACAACACGTCGAGTTTCACTATAACTTTAAAAAGTCGTTCAGGTCTTGTCGGGACACTGTCGAAGTCTTCGCGTATAAATAGAACCATTTCGTTCATTTAGAGGTATGCGAACATTTCGATTCTCTCTCGATTTAGTTCGGACTTTTATTGATTTTGGCATCGGAGTGTTCACTCTATTTTGCAGGTCTTCTACGTGATATTGGGAGCCAAACAGACGTTCTTGGAATTGGTCAATTTCTTGATTCTTACAGATATTTCAATTTTGTGGGTCTAATACAATTATTTTTTAAAATTCACAAATTTATTAGCTACTATGGTCACTTATTAAATATAAAATTCAAAATAATATCTATTAGATACAATTTTATAAATCACTTATAATTTAACCCAACAAATTTATGACTTCAAACATTTCTTTTAAAATGGCATCTCCACTCGTGTAGGAAACAAAGAAAGCTACATATACATTTTAATGCCAGATAAACGACATTATTTGCCACTTGTTTAATATTGTATGATTATTCTTCTTTCTGGGGTCTGACTTTTAATTTTTTTTTTTCTATTGTCCTTAAAATCACATCATTATCTTCTTTTTGCAGTCTTTTTCTTGCTTACTATGTTGGAATTTCGTAAACTATATTAAATTAATTACAGAATAATGTTATGATCATCTTCTGACGCTATGAAATCCGAGGGAAAAGAAAAAGAAAAAGAAAAATTGACCAATTGTAACCCTTTCCACAATCTGAGGATAGAAGTAAAATTCTAATGGACAATTTGTGTATTTTATTATTAAATTAATAAATGTCTTTTTATTCAGATATTTTTACGCTGGCAAATAATGCCTTCTTATTATCATTGGTTTATTTTCCTTTTATAGTCTATACATACATTCTTCCTAACTGAATTAATTATAATAATATTAATTTAAGTTGCATCACGTTGATGTGATAATAAATTCATTCAATTTGATATATGTGGTATTGTGAATATATATATAACTAGAATAGCGACTTTTAGCGAGTTTTGACACGCCTAGAAAATGTATGTATGTTTGAATTGACGTCATTTCATCGAGTCCTCCTAAATTGCTTTCTAGGCGGTTCAAAAAGTCGCTACTCAAATTATATATATATATAAGCTTTATATTGGGCCTAAAGTCCAAAATTCGGTCAATCCAAACCTAATTCAACTTAGAAATAGAAGCTTGAGAAGGAATACCAAAACTTAGTTCATTCGCTGACTCTTTGCATCCATGGTTGAGTGGTTAAAGCGTCCGACCTATATTAACCTAATAAAGGGGGAATTTTATAGGCTTGATTTTTGCTGGATGCACTTGGAACGTTCAGTTCAATCGCTGCTCACAAAATTTTTACATATTGATATTCATTTTCAAGCTTGCACATCCTAAGAGGAGAGATCCTTAATTATTGATATTGAGAAAGCAAAGATATTATGAACATTGGCTAATACCAACTCTTGATTGGTCCTAATGAGAAGGTTAACCTGTCCTATTGAAATAGGCCCATAAATGGACTTAGAGGTTTAGATTTTAGTAGTTAAATTGATCTAAGTTCGACCCAAACCATAATTAAAATCTATGAAGCTGGAGTTTGGACTTTGTTTTTTTGGAATTAAGTTTTAGTAGTTGAGTTGGGTCAAGCTTAAGTCTTTATTTTATTGGGTTAACCAAACCCAACCCAGTAATGCCGGTAATATAAATATATATATTGAAATAACATTACAAAAGAATATTAAATATAACGTGAATCTAAAATTTTATCCCCATATTTCAAACTATAATTATAAAAATATCTTCTCAACTCTACTCTCCTCTTTGCATCTCTTCAAAATTATATTGGGTTAGCAACTAATTAGATTCGAACTTTGATCAAAATTAGGATCAAGCCACCCAAATTCATCCTTAAAAAAGGAAAATGTTTGGCAACTTTCCCCTCAATACCATTAAATATTTGACAATTCATTATTTTTTATTTTTGTATTTCTATCTCTTAATTGTCAAATATTTAAGGGTGTTTCTTCCAGTTTTTTTCAAAATATATATATATATATCAGAATTTAAAATTTGAACGTTGATTAAAATGCCACCAAAATAGAATATTATTTTGAGTAATTTGTATAATGGTCATAAAATGTGGCAGTAGAAAAGAGAACTAATATAGATAAAAAGGAAAAAGTGTAATGAAAAACAATTGAGTTATTTTCTCTGCTTGCTTTTGTAACTAGTGCAAAGAGAAGCCGATGAAGTGATGAACAAGAATGAATCTTGAGGCAATTGTAAAAACTATCAAACACTTTGGTGTATATAACATTTTTCAATCATCATTGTGTGGGCTTGATTCTTCCTAATTAGCAAGGAGTTCCACAACTTTACTCATTGCAGGCCTTGTGTTTCGATCCTCTCTCACACATTGAAGAGCCACTTTCAATAATATTTCTATCTTCTTGTTTTGGTCGCCTTCTTCCACATTCAACCTTGGATCCACCACTTTCTCAACCTCACCCTTTTCTACACTCTTTATTATCCATTTCACTAGATCTGTGCATCCATTATCTTCGACAATTGTGGACGATCGAAAATTAGATGCATTCTTTCCACTAACAAGTTCCAAAACGACGATACCATAACTGTAAACATCCACCTTTGCATCAACCTTTAGATTCATCATCCATTCCGGAGCTAAATATCCCCTTGTCCCCCGCACCTTAGAGAATCCAGTTTCATTGATCTCTCGAAAAAGCTTCGACATTCCAAAATCTGCCACCTTGGGTTCCAAAGCCTCATCCAGAAGTATATTCTGAGGCTTGACATCACAATGCAGAACCCATTCGAGACATTCTTCATGTAAATACGACAAACCCTTAGCTGTTCCAATTGCAATCTCATACCTTTGCTCCAATCCCAAACCCTCAGCAGAATCCGAGAATAAAAGTTTATCCAAAGACCCACTTTTCACATACTCATACACCAACATCTTATGTTGTTTCTCAGCGCAAAAGCCCCACAATTTCACCAAGTTTCTATGATTGATCTTCCCAATGATGCTAACTTCAGCCCAGAATTCCGCTTCTCCTTGTATAATGCCCTCCAATCTCTTCACAGCCACAACTCTGCCATCGTCCAATTCTCCTTTGAACACAGTTCCAAACCCCCCATTCCCTATCTCTTGCTTGAAGTTCTTGGTGGCTCTCTTCAATTCGGCGTAGGAGAATCTTTTGAACCCCATCGCCAGAACAATGTAACCCATGTTAACCAATTCCTCACGCACCCTCTTCCGAAACACAAACCACCACCCAAACCCAACAAAAACCAGTTCGCTCATCCCAACGGCAACC